CGCGCCCCCGCCCTCCCCGGCGTCTGCCCATGTGTGTCCTTAAATCGCCGCAGCCGGCCCTCCTCCTCCTCCAGCTTCGGGGCCGGGGTTTCTTTGCCTAGTCGGCCAGAAAAAGAGCTGCGAGTTGATCGGTTCGGGTGTGAACCGAGATTCCGATGGTGGTTCAGGATCTCAGGGAGCAGAGCGGGAGACCGCCCCGTCGCCCTCGATATGGTGCAGGGTGGTCGTTGATGGAACACGTTTGCACCCACCGTGTGCCGAGTGGACGAGAAAGTAGCTGCGAAAAGAAGGAAAAGGGCAGGCAGGGAGGCCGGGGGAGGGTAGCTTAGCTGATGCTCGGATGGGAGAGGTTGGAGGCGGCCTAGGGGTCTGTCTGCCCTCGGGTATTCTGCAGCGGCAGGTCCTTGGGGCAGTTCTAAGTCCTCCTTGATTGGATGAAGCTTCGGGCAGGTGTCCAGCTGCAGGTGAGCGGTCTCCTCTCGGTGACCGAGCAAGGCCCTCCCATCTAGAATGAGCCTCGGGGAGCTGGGACGCTTGGTCAGGTGGGATTCGCTGCCCCGTGCAAGCTGAAAAGGGCCTGGGGTCAGTTTTGTTTGGGGTCGCTGTTGCCTTTTTCCTCCGGCTCTCCAGTGGGTGCGGAGCGCCCAACCTCCCAGGATCGCGTCTGGAGAGTGGCTCGTATTCTGCCAGCTTCGGAATCGGGAGGGAGAGCAAAGCCTGCAGAGGTACCCATTCCATTCCCAGCTGGCACCGTAGCTGGCGATTGGAAGACGCTCTGCGACAGTGTCTACCCCGGGGCAGGGAGGGCTCCTCCGGGGTTCGGGATGTCTCTTAACACCCGTCCGCTTCTCCCTTCAGGCGTCATGGCTGCCCTCCGGCCCCTCGTGAAACCCAAGATCGTCAAAAAGAGGACCAAGAAGTTCATCCGGCACCAGTCAGACCGATATGTCAAGATTAAGGTACGTGGTCTGGGGTGGCGGTGTTGGGTGAAGTATGGTGTTCCTAAACAGGGTGACGTCACCTGGTTGGACGCACACACTAGTCTGCTGTTGGCGAAAGCTTTCCGACGGAACCCAGGTCTTCCTGGCTGTGCCTGGTACTCGGGCTCTCGGTGCATACATTGGGGTTTAGGCTCTAAAGGCAAGGGCCTTGACTGTCCTGTATTTCTGTTTGCCTGTGAAACGGCAGAGGAGGTAGCTTACCCCCTTGGGGAGGTCTGTCTGTGTGTGTGTGTGTTACACCCTAGAAGAATCCCTGAATGAGACCAGCAGTTAGCGTAATGGCTATGTAGCTGGACTCCCATGTGGTCGACCGCAGTTCAAGTCCCAGACCCGGTGGCTTAAACTCACATTGGGTGCATGTGTGTGTGCGTGCTCAAGATCCTGGGAGGAGAATGAAGGAGAAGGGATTGTGGTGTAGTCATCGCCCTTGGGGGTTGATTTCTTGCTTTCTGTCTCTCTGTCTCTCTTCTGGCGAGTTGTCCCCCCCTATAGCAGAAAACCTCAAAAAAAGGGGGAAAAAAAAAAAGAATCCCCGGATTTTCCTTCCTGTGTTTTTCTGTCCCGCTTCTTGGTCTGTGAGGTCGGTTAAGGTTGTCAGGACAACGAAACCAAGCTGATGGGGAGGGGACAGGTTATTCTGACATTTCTCTGGGTCTTTGAGTTGCACATCGACTCTGGGGCTGATCACTCCGTGCTGGCTTAACCTGCCGGTGAGGTTCACAGCCGATTTTCCAGCCCCGTGCTCACCGGTTTCAGATTCGCCAGTGTAACCGGGCTTCATCACCAGTTAGAGACTGGGCAGTGACTTGGGAGCATGGCCTGGTAACTCGCATTTGCCTCTCTTTTTGGCGGCGTAGACAGATGGCAGGGTGATTCTCTCTCTCACGGATGGGAAACGGGTCCTGAAAGCAGCAGGCACGATGCACACGCCCCCTCACGTCCTGCAGGACCCGTTGATACTCTGCTTTTCTGTTGTCTGGTGCAGAATGCGGACGTTCCTGCTGCTGGGTGCACCTCCTTTGCATCTGCTCCTTTTCCCCTCCCGGAGGGAGAGGTGGTTTGCAGGACACTCACCCCCATCTGTGCTATTTCACTCAGCGCAACTGGCGGAAACCCAGAGGGATTGACAACAGGGTGCGGAGGAGGTTCAAGGGCCAGATCCTGATGCCCAACATCGGTTACGGCAGCAACAAGAAAACGAAGCACATGCTGCCCAGCGGCTTCCGGAAGTTCCTGGTCCACAACGTCAAGGAGCTGGAAGTGCTGCTGATGTGCAATAAGTGAGTCGGGGCCCGTGGCAGGGGTCAGACCACAGGGCTGCCTCCCTGTGAGCGCTGGGCAGGAGCACTAGACCCTCGGGCGGGTTTGGAACAGTTGTGTTCTCGCAAATATAAAATAGTTCTTTGCCGGAGCCTGCTAGTTGGGGGGTTTGAAACAGTGCTTGGGAGAGCAGAGGCGTTCTCTCACAAAGCAAAGAGACCTGGGGCCAGGAAAATGAATTTGCTGGACACAAGGAACGCTTACAACAGCCTTGGACAGGCACTTGCAGAACGTTCCTGCAGGAAGAGCAGACTATCCTCAGACCTGAGGCTGCGGTTACTCTGCGCTGTAGTAGCTGGGCCTTCAGAGCACTGGTCTGCCCAACGGGGGAGTTGGTGCCTGGGGCAGAGGGCCTTAGAGCACAGCGTGAGGTGGAGAAGGGGGGAGGCCTCTGTGGGCAGGTGGGGGGAGTGTGGGGCACAGGGCAGTAGTCCTGGACACTTGGTGAGCTCCACGCGCGAGCGATGTGAAACTCGGGCCGTAGGATGAGCAGCGGCGGGAGATGATCTGTGTACCGCGGCGTGCGTCTGGGTCGGAGGGACTCGGTTTTCTTTTCCCCCAGTTGAGCAGGGGGCAGTGGCGGTTTATTTTCTTCCCTTTGTGGTGAACAGAAGCCTGAGTTCCTGCATTTTTCTAAGTAAGTTACAGAACATGGAGAGGGCGTGGCCAGTCGTGGTTACGTATGTACATGTTTACGAAGGCCTTTTATCTGTAGCAAGGGACAAAGGTGAACATGACTGATACTCTGATGTGGCTACATTTTGAGGCTGAGAATTGAACCCGCCTTTGGAGTGCCAGGCTTTTTCTCCAGCGAGGTTGAGCAGGGGTGGGTGTTGGACCCCCAGGCTGCAGTGAGCAGCTGACGCTGAGTTAGGAGACAGGACGGTCTACCGGGGTGTGGCAGGGTCTTCACTTGCTGCAGAAATGTCGCCGGTGGCTTCGGTTTTAAGCAGCAGCAGTTCGGCTGTGTTGGGGCCCATAGGAATATTCTGGGTTTGTGACCATTGATCTGCAAGTTGTTTGGAATCTATCCTTAAACGATTGAAAGGCGAGCAAACTGTAAAGCTGGTCCTTGCAGAAATAGCCAGTTGGGAACAACCAGCAACGTCGTTAGTGAGTGTGGAGGCCCGAGTGAGGTGTGTGGGACACATCCGTCGCAGGTCATTGTGTGGCGGTGCGGCAGAGCCCAGGCAGGGGGCACTCAGAGCATGCATCCCAGCGCCGTGCTGGGGCTGTTAAATGTGCAGGTGGATGAGAGGGGTTTTTGAAAATGGAGAACAGCGAGAAGCATTGGAAACACTCCTGGGTAACAGTTCACTGCGTCCCGCTGTCTCACTGTGAGGCCGTCTTGAGCTGCGCGCCCACAGAGGTGCTGCGTGAGGTGGAGAAAGGGAGCGCCTTTGTAGGCAGACGGAAGAGTGTGGAGAGCTGCCTTCTCCTCGTTCACACACTCCTACCCCACTTCCCCCCACCCCCTCTGCCGCCCGCCCTCGCTGCGGCGGGGTGGGTGCACGCTGAGAGCCCGCACAGCACGGCGGGCTGCCTGAGCGTGGGGGCGGAGAAGGGGTTAGAGCCCAGTCTGCACCCCAAGCTCAGGACGTGCTGGAGCAGGCTGGCGACTCGGGGCAGCCCCCAGCGGTCCGCCCAGCAGCCCGCAGCTCAGCACAGACTGTCGGGTTCTGCTCGCGGTCGCTTTGCAGGTGGGCAAGTCATGTCCCCCGACTGCGGCAGGACCTTGCAGGACCTTTGGGCCTTCCCACAGCCTGCCCCCTGCGCACGTGTCCTGGGCATTCGTTTCCGTCTTTGTGGGGGCGGTTTGCACACGGCCCCTGTCACTGCCAGGGAACACGAGCTGCTGCTCGCACCGGGGCTGTGGGTGGGCGTGGAGGCCTTGCGCAGCAGCCATTCAGCACGCACCGCTTTGCCTGGTGCTGAGATGGAGGTGAGGTGGCCAAAGCCGGGGCCTCCCCACAGGTCAGGCCAGCTTCCTCACCGCTGTCTCTTCCAGGTCCTACTGTGCTGAGATCGCCCACAACGTCTCCTCCAAGAACCGCAAGGCCATCGTGGAACGGGCAGCCCAGCTGGCCATCAGAGTCACCAATCCCAACGCCAGGCTGCGCAGTGAAGAAAACGAGTAGACGGCTCGTGTGCACGCTGTTTGTTTCTAAATAAAGCCACAAACCCCATCTGTGTCTTCCTCTCGGTTTGGTTCATTTTCTAACTCTGACAGCTGTCAGATTGTTCTGTCTGTTAACCAGTGCCCTGCGGAATCTGCCATTGAGAAGGGTTTGTAAAGGACACGTATCTTGGCACAGGGAACTCGGCCTCGAGTGCACAGACTCGCTTGTGTTCCTCGGGGCCAGGGTGCAGGGAAACCTGGCCCTCAGACCCAGGCAGGTTCTGACACCTGGCTGCAGACGCCCGCGCCTCCCGTGGTGAGGACTGGGAAAGTGGCCATGTCCTGATGGATTTCTTCTGTGCTCCCCGAGATTCTGACAAGTGTAAAGGTGACGTTCTATAACTTCTGTCCAAAAAATGCACGACAGCATGGCGCGACGTTCTGTATGACCAGCCCCGAGTACTGGGGGTGACTTCCAGTCTCATCCCTCCCTATCTGCTGCCCAAGATACAGTCTCGCTGGTGGCAGGCCTCTACACCTGTAAGCCTTCGCTGCAACCCCGAGGCTTTAATTAGGCGGTATTACAGGGCAGGAGAGGCCGCAGGGCTAAGGCACGGGGGTTCCTCAGTAACAAGGCCTAAATTATGGTTTTGTCCAACCATCCTGGTCACCCAGCAGAAATGCTGCACTGGTCGCGGTGGACAAGCCTTTCCTCCTCGTGTGCTCTCTGGGGCTCAGTGGAGCAGGGGAGTGTCAGAGGCTGACGGCCTCTTGGGCCAGAGCTAGTCTAGAACATTCGTGGAGTGAACTGGTCAGCATACTGAAGACTGGTCTACCAGGGACAGGAATTGTGTGCACAAAATGGGAACTGAGGATTTGTTTAACCACCTGGCATATAGAAAGTACCTTCGCCTGTCACTTTTTTGATTTCTAAGAGATTTATTCATTCACTTATTTAAATTCAACCAGAGTGAAGGAAAGTGAGCAAGCAAGCCACCAGGTCCGGGACTCGAGCCTTGGTCGGCCGTGGGGGTGTGTCCAGTGCCTTAAGTGCCACACCACCAGCTTCCCAGCCTGTCACTAAATTTCTATGTCCACAACAGAAAAAGGACACTGACTGGTTATGCCTGGGGGTGAAAATGGTGATTGGTACCTTCCCGTTAACTAATGTGCTACGTGAATACTTTGAGAATGAAATATTTGGGGGGCTAAGGTGACTGGTCAAACGTGGCTAGATCCTGCTGCTTAAAAGGCTAGGTGTGTATGCATGCATGCCCAAAGTCCTTTGAGAAGGGGTCGTCGGGGCCACCAATTGGAGTGTGTCGCTCGAGATTCCCACATGGCTGACGTTGGCGTCCCCGACCTGGTGGCTAAAAACTCAGTCTGGGTGTATGGGTGCCCAAGATCCTGAGGAGTGGAAGGGAAGGGATCACAGCGGGGCTGTGATCTAAAAATTTTTAAAAAATTTTTAGATATATGTGTGTGTGTGTATATTTTTATTATTCATACATTAAACCGCTATACCTCATTCAGATTGTGAAGAGACGTTACCCAGCATGATCTACACCTCAGCCCAGCCCAGCTGAGACCACCACACACATCCTCGTCAACAGATGATAAACCTTATCCATGTCCCACAAGTGTCTTACCTGCCCCCCCCCCCCCAAT